ATATATATATATATATATATATATATATATATATATATATATATAATGTCATCACAATGTCAGCACTGTATGTTTCCATACAATGGCATATATATATATATACATGTACATTTTGGACATTGTTTAAATCCGTAGTTCTCAAGCTGGGGTCCCCGGACTCTCAGGGGTCCGCGAGCCGCTGCTTGGGGGTCCACAAAAAATATAAAAAAAAAAAAAAAAAAAAAAAAAAATATATATATATTTTTTTAAGCATATAAATCTTTAGCAACCTATTAAAATACAGTACAACATAATGCAGGTAATCGCATCTACTTTATTCAAATTTTTTGGGGGGAGGACCCCCAGACCTGCCCCTCCCTTCACACTTCTCCCCTGTAAGGGGTCCCTGAACCCAAAAAGTTTGAGAACCCCTGGTTTAAATAATTTTAATCCTGAATTTTGACAGGAGCATCCAGTCCTTCAGAACCTGTAGCCAAAAACAAAGATTTGTTTTTGCACGAGTCGGTCGGTGGTCGCAACAAGAACGTGTTATATCGTTTGTATGCTGATAACATACAGTTGTACTGCTCCTTTTGAATGTCAGAGATCTACAAACTGAGCTCAGGGATTTTCTTTTTCTTCTTTCAGCTGCTCCCTTCTTCAGGGGTCACCACAGTGAACTGAGTCGCACAAGACATGACAACTGTTTTATCATCGGATGTCCTTCCTGACGCAACCACAGACCACCGAGCTACCACAGCCCTCGGTGTGGAGCAGAGAGCTGCCATCTAGGACGCCCGGGGTTTTTTTCACTTTTCCCACCCACATTTTGATGTTGTCGGTACAGGGAGTTGAACCTGCCATCATCCGATCACAGGCCCGCCTTCTCTAACCTCTGCGCCACCACTCCCACCTGTCTGAGCTCAGCAAGTGTTTGTCAGAATTCGAACTATGGCTGTACAAGAACTAATACAAACACTGAATCTCTAATCATTGCCCTGATGGGAGAACTCATTTCATCAGGCAGCCTCTTGCTTCTTTTACTCCAACTGTGAAACGTAATCGTACGAATCTGGGCGCCATCTTTGACAGTTCCTTGTCTTTTAACAATCACTTTAAAACACTAGTCAACACTTTTTATCATCAAAGAAACATTTCCAATCTGAGACCATTGTGTCTCAGACTGAACTAGAGACGATTATCCATGCGTTCATACCCACTCGTTTGGACTATTGTAACAGTCTTTTTACTTTGTTCTACATTTTGGAGCCTCTGTCTCCCTCCAGGACTCTGAGGTCTTGAAGTCAAATGCTGTTGGTGGTGCCACTCATTTCAAAACCTGCAGAGGCCGAGCATTTCAGGTGGTGACCCCGAGGCTCGGAGCGCTCTTCCACCGTCTCTTCCCTGTTCAGACTCCACTGACTCTTTTACAAAACATCTAAAAGCATTTTATTTAGACTGGCTTTTACTTAATTTGTAGTTTCTGTTTATAATTGTTTTAATAATTCTATTTCCTGTGAAATGTGAGGCTGCGTCTGTGGTTTTCACAGCATCCCTCAAACGTAAACACACCAGTGGGCTAATATAAAAATCAAATGTATAAGGATGAAGGTAAAATTTAAAAATAATATTGAAAATATACATTATTTTAGGATTTGATTCACATGGGATTAACATTTTTCCTATAATGAACACTAGAGGGCAGTAAGGTTAGAGAGTTTGTACAACTGACAATTAAAAAAAAATAGGAGTTGTTGGGATTCGCCAAATCTGTTCATGTTTACTGAAAGCACCCAAAATAAACAAATAAATAAATAAAGGCATGGATGATTCTTCCCCATGAGACCATCTGAGGGTTAAAGATAAAAATGAAGAAGTCCACCTCTCCAGATGTCTGATAAGGACAGGTGAACACGTGCGCACACACACTGCTTGTCATTTGACGCTTTCAATTTTAACTCAGAAGTAGAAGATTTTTTTTTAATTGCCAAGTTGGAAAACTCGATACAACTCGATATTTGAATTTTGACTTGAAAAGAGATTCCTCACCTGCCACGACCTTAAAATCCAATATGGCTGCCACATGCGTGAAAAGTGTTGCAGGAAAAAACTTTTTTCTTCCTTTCTTCTGTTGGTTTGTGTTTCATAAACTCAGTAGCAGGTGCAGTTTTGTACATCTTCTACGAGCAAACTCGTTGCTCCAATGTTTGAACGCAGACGTGAAATACAAGTTGTTTTTTTATATATAGTTCGGATTACTATAAATACTTAGCCGTGTTACTGAACACATCTAAGAAATCCTTTTACATTTCAGAGTTGAAACTGGAACACGGTTCAGTTGGGCGTGATGTCCCAGATCCAAACTCCAACTTACAAATTAAATAAAAGCAATAACAGAATAATCTGTTGTGCTCTAGTTTCTTCACAACAAATGTCTCTGCAGCACATGATGTGACCCCGCATTTGCAGAAAAAGACTAATTTGATGATTCAGAAAACAATAATTTTGAAGTCCTACGAATGCAAATCCTACTACAACCTTTGGCGCTACCTGGTGGGAGGTGCAAGTGACATAGTGAAGCATCAACGTTGTTTTTGTCATTTCATTTTCTTTAGCAGTGTTGCATCTCAAGACATTCAAAACACAGTGAGTGTTAGTAATAATAAAACATTAACTGCCGTGGATAAAATGGAAGAAGAAGGAACAATAATTTGACAGTAAGATGGTCACAGCGTGTTTGATGCATGCACAGGTACAAAGATTGATCAAAGAGAATGCGAGATAAATGCAGGGTAATTACCTTGTAGCATTAGAAGAGGAGCAGCTTCCTCTGTTCTCTACAGCTTATTGGAGCGGTGACAGTTTGTGTGGTGTTGGAAAAGACAGAAAGGAAAACATGGAGAGTTGGGGACAGAGAGAGCAAAGCTGAAATGGATAAAATTACTTTTACAGTCAAGAATAATCTGAACCCAGTGGACCCTCAGAACATAAAAGTTCATTAGACACAAAAACACACAACCATATCAAATTATTAGACCTAAAATGGCTATTTTACAGGTATTTTATAGTCAAACAACAAATTTATTGGTGTCTTTTGAAACATTTTCTTCTTGGTCCAACCCACACTCATAAAGTCACCATGTGCACTGAATCAATGACGTGGAAGGTTTTGAGGATTAGGATGCTGGATTAGGCTTTAAAAGTTTCTTTATGTTACTCTGAGAGCATTGTTGTGGTGTTAGTAAAGAAATATAAATATAAACTTTATTACAGCAGCTGTATCAAAGAACAGTGTTCTTCTTCTGTTCTAACCGTTCTTTTTCCGAATAACTATTCGTTATCTAAAAAACATTGTTCATTTTCTGAAGAACACTGTACTTTTTCCAAAGACCCTATTCTTTTTCTGAAGACAAACATTGTTCTTTTCCTGAAGAACACCTTTCTTTTTCTGAAGAACACTGTTCTTTTTCTGAAGAACAATACCGTTCTTTTTCTGAAGAACATTTTTTTCTGAAGAATACCTTTCTTTTCCTGAAGAACACTGTTCTTTTCCTGAAGAATACTGTACTTTTTCTAAATAACATTGTTCTTTTTCTGAAGAACACTGTACTTTTTCTAAAGAACCCTGTTCTTTTTCTGAAGACAAACATTGTTCTTTTTCTGAAGAACACCACCATTCTTTTTCTGAAGAACACCACCATTCTTTTTCTGAAGAACACTGTTATTTGTCTGAAGAGGAACACCATTCTTTTTCTTTACTATGGTCTTTTCTGTCATTTGCTGTCAACAGCAGAATCATCTGGTGACAAGAAGCAACGACAGCAACAGAAAAATGTGCAGAGCCATAATTTATACTAGTGTTATAGTTTATTTTTTAATTTTAGTTAAATATCTTCAGTAAACAGTGACTCTAAAAAGCAGCATGAGACCAGAATGAAAAGGGAAAAAAATACCAACAAAAAATGTTAAATACAAATAAAATAATATTTAATAAAATTAAAAAAATATTAAGGATTGAAGGTTCATTTATTATTTTCATGTTTTCAGATGAAAATGAAATTTGCCTCAGGACCAAACCATTACTGTCTTGAGAAATAATTCTGTTTTTAAGTGAAAAAATACAATAATGTTATTGGATGGTGTTGGTCCAAAAAAAAAAAACAACAACAACAAAAAAAAAACCAACACAATAAAGGTAAATAAAATTAAAGCATTAAAAGCTTATTTAAATTATTATGCTAATTTATTATTTTCAAAAAAAAAAAAAAAGAACCAGCAGCTCCATGCATGGGTCCTCCTCTTGTGCAGTTTTAGGATCACAGCATCCTAGTTTGACCTGAGACACATTTATTGTCCATTTAATTATTTATCTTTTTTTTTTTTAATCATTAAATAATTCTCATCAAATGCTGGTCCTGAAAACTAATTATGTTCTTATATGAAAACATGATAGGATGTTATAATATCACTGTGCTGATAGTCCTAAGAATAAATCAAAACTGATTAAAATGGAACAGCTGGATGGAACTGAAAACACACCCTGCTTCCATGATGGCATGAATAAATCAAATTACTCCTGATTTTCTGTAAATGAAAACAGAGACACTAGTTTCAGTCTATGGTGTAGCTGGACTTGGTTTTAGTGTGAATGACGCTTCGGAAGGAGGATGCTGTGGTTAACAGAGCATCAAAACCTGGACTCCTGCCAGCATGATCAGTTTTAAATGTATGACAGCAGGTTGATTTAGTTCCATGCATCTGGAGCTCAAAGCGCACAGCTGCAGGAAGCGAGAAGAGAGAGGATCGGTGTTTTCACCTGGCTCTCCACCAGCATGGCCATGTCCATGAACATGCCGTGAAGTTCTCTGATGCTGTTCTCCAGCTTGATGATCTCATTGTGCCGCGTCTCAATCTCATTCATGGCCTGCTGGGTGATGTTGTCCATTATTATCTGAGAAGATTGGACACGAGAAAATAGAAAGAGTTGTTAAAAACGGCATTAATTTTCAGAGTTTTGTTGAACTGGTTGGACTGCTTACCCCCGAGGTAAAGATAGCTGGGTTGTCGCTCTCCAACATGCTCTCCAACTCCTCGTTTGTTGTATTTCTGCCGGCTAGATGAAGAAAAAAAAACATTTACGCAACAATTCTTCCATTCATTTTTCACAGTCAACTACTGCTGCAGACTTTCTGCTATTTTAACCATTGTGAATCAAAACATTCATCTTCATCAGGAATGGTGTGCCACCACATTTAGAAATACAGTAGTTGCTTTTATACTTTTGGAAACATTTACATTCATTTATCAACATTTTCTCAGAAATGGGTTGAAATCTTTCCAGTTCCTTGAAAAAAAAATAAAAAAAATCAGAGTTTTCTGAAATCCTTCAGCAGAACTGTTTTCTTTTCTTGCCCTCCTTTAAGTTTTTAATAGGCTTGCAAATTTAGTCTTTACTAAATAAGACTATTTATAGTCTTGCAAATTTTAGCTTTTTGCAACAGTTTAGCAAATTTTAGCTTTTCACTATGATTTTGCTAATATCAACTTTTCACTATTGTTTTACTAATATTAACTTTGAGCTACAATCTAGCTACGTTTTTGTTAAATCTATATTTTAAATTTTTGCTACAATTAGCAAAGAGCTTCCCCATCTTTTACTTTTAGCTTCGATTTTTCTAATTAAATTTTTTTTAGCTACAGATTTGCTAATTTAGATTTTAGCTATTTTATTTTTAAAATTTAGCTACTGTTATTGCTCACTATTACTAGCTTTTAGCTAAAGTCTAGCTGTGGTTTCATGGTTAGCTAAGAGTATTCAAACATTTTGCTTTTAGCTACTGTTTTGCTCATTTAATTTTATAGCAATTAGTTAATTTCAGCGTTTCACTACTGTCTTCCTCAGTTTAGTTTTGGCAACAATTTTCCTAATTTTAGCTTATCAATAAAGTTTCATTAATAGCACATTTTCCTCTTTTTTTTGTAACAACTGTTAAGCTATTTGTCAACTTTTGGTTACAACTGTACTAATTTTAGCTTTTAGCTACTGTTTTGCTAACTTAAGCTTCTGTTCTACTTGTTTTACCTTCACTGGCATTCTTTAGTAAAATTCAAGAAAGTCTTTAAGCACGCAGCATTGAAGTGTAGAAAGATCCAAAGAAGTTAATTCAATTAAATATTTGGAACAAAAAAGTTAGCTGAGGTTCAGCCTTTTCTCAAATTATTTTGTTTTCCATATTTGAATATTTTTTTATTTTAAAAGTAATTATTTTGGCATCAGCCCATCTTTTGATTTATTGTGTTGCTTTATTCATTAAGATGTGTTTAGTTTTATACCTGTGCAGTTCTTTAATTCTTTATTCAACACTTGTTCTTTAAATATGCATTTAAATAAATTTATCTCGTCTGAATCATCCTTTGTTTTCAGGTTTAAGCTGTAAAGTTGAATAGAAGCTGCATTTTTATAAAACCTTGTAATAAAACGCTCTGACTGTTCAAATTCTTTTGGTCTCCTTTCTGACCCTTAGAGGGCCAATTAAAAGAAAATGCTCTTTCCTTCAAGCTTATTTGCAATTAATTAGTTCCTAACGATCACGTTACATTTAAGCATGAAAACTGAAAATAACCTCATTAAACTGATTAAAGTAAACTGTGCGGGGATTCTGATAATTCAAGTGGGTTACACTTCATGAAACTCTGGAAATAAAAACTAATAATTTAACCTCCTGAATATCCTAAATTAAGCATAGCTTAACTTTTAAACTCTACTTGCTTTTAATGACTTGCAGCAATGGTAACGTCACCCTTTCTACCTTCTGATTGGACGGTTTACTTTGCGATTGTTTCACTGTCCAATCAGTGTCAAGAAAAATTGCTGAGTTCAGTGAAGTGGGAACTTTTAGTTTTGTGTTGTGTTTCTGTGAATAGATGTTCACACTAAATCAATATTTTAATTAATATAATCTCACAGTCATTGTGACTTTATTTTAGTGCATATTCTTGTCTTCATGTCCTGCAGCACATGGAAGTAAAATGTACATCAGCTCAGTCTTTTATTTTCAGGTCATCTTTTGACACTTCCTTTTCCAGGAAAGAGAGAAGAAATAAAAACAAGGCTCAGGATGTAATGTTTTACAGCTGTCACCTACTTTTTGGTACCTTAACCTTTTGGCCGAGTGAATCTTCTTCTAACAAAGTTTATTTCCAATTTTTCTACTGACCCTACAGTATATGACTGCTTTCCTTCCTGCTGCTGCTTCTCCTCTTCATCCATTTTTTTCCCCCAGCAGACCTGTCCTACTTCATCCCTCAAATAAAACTGTTGTATTTTGTTAAGACCTAGTATTACAAGAGGACAGTCAACGGTAAATAGTATTCCCATCAAATTAATATAAAGCCTTTATGATCAGAGTAGAAGACGTCACGAGAACTCCGCAAGAGTTCTTTGGTGTAAGTACAGTGCCTTGTGAAAATATTCGTCCCCCTTGAACTTTTCAACCTTTTGCCACATTTCAGGCTTCAAACATAAAGATATACAATTTTAATTTTTTGTGAAGAATCAACAACAAGTGGGACACAATCGTGAAGTGGAATAAAATTTATTGGATGTGTCAAACTTTTGTAACAAATAAAAAACTGAAAAGTGGGGCGTGCAATATTATTCGGCCTCTTTACTTTCAGTGCAGCAAACTCACTCCAGAAGTTCAGTGAGGATCTATGAATGATCCAATGTTGTCCCAAATGACTGATGATGATAAATAGAATCCACCTGTGTGTAATCAAGTCTCTGTATAAATGCACCTGCTCTGTGATAGTCTCAGGGTTCTGTTCAAAGCGCAGAGAGCATCATGAAGACCAAGGAACACACCAGGCAGGTCCGAGATACTGTTGTGGAGAAGTTTAAAGCTGGATTTGGATACAAAAAGATTTCCCAAGCTTTAAACATCCCAAGGAGCACTGTGCAAGCAATCATATTGAAATGGAAGGAGTATCAGACAACTGCAAATCTACCAAGACCCGGCCGTCCCTCTAAACTTTCATCTCGAACAAGGAGACTGATCAGAGATGCAGCCAAGAGGCCCATGATCACTCTGGATGAACTGCAGAGATCTACAGCTGAGGTGGGAGAGTCTGTCCATAGGACAACAATCAGTCGTACACTGCACAAATCTGGCCTTTATGGAAGAGTGGCAAGAAGAAAGCCATTTCTCAAAGATATCCATAAAAAGTGTTGTTTAAAGTTTGTCACAAGCACCTGGGAGACACACCAAACATGTGGAAGAAGGTGCTCTGGTCAGATGAAACCAAAATCCAACTGTTTGGCCACAATGCAAAACGATATGTTTGACGTAAAAGCAACACAGCTCATCAGCCTGAACACACCATCCCCACTGTCAAACATGGTGGTGGCAGCATCATGGTTTGGGCCTGCTTTTCATCAGCAGGGACTGGGAAGATGGTCAGAATTGATGGGAAGATGGATGGGGCCAAATACAGGACCATTCTAGAAGAAAACGTGTTTGAGTCTGCAAGAGACCTGAGACTGGGACAGAGAATTATCTTCCAACAAGACAATGATCCAAAACATGAAGACAAATCTACAATGGAATGGTTCACAAATAAACATATCCAGGTGTTGGAATGGCCAAGTCAAAGTCCAGACCTGAATCCAATCGAGAATCTGTGGAAAGAGCTGAAGACTGCTGTTCACAAACGCTCTCCATCCAACCTCACTGAGCTTGAGCTGTTTTGCAGGAAGAATGGGCAGAATTTCAGTGTCTCCATGTGCAAAACTGATAGAGACAAACCCAAGAGACTTGCAGCTGGAACTGCAGCAAAAGGCGGCGCTACAAAGTATTAACGCAAGGGGGCCGAATAATATTGCACGTCCCACTTCAGTTTATTTGTTAAAGTTTGACACATCCAATAAATTTCATTCCACTTCACGATTGTGTCCCACTTGTTGTTGATTCTTCACAAAAAATTAAAATTGTATATCTTTATGTTTGAAGCCTGAAATGTGTAAAAAAGGTTGAAAAGTTCAAGGGGGCAGAATACTTTCGCAAGGCACTGTAAATCTAATGCCAAGTCAAAGTCTTTCTGTCTGTCTTAAACATTTGTGGAATTACAGAGGACAAATCACTGTGTCTCGTCTTATGTACGGACAGATGGGGACAATCAGAGAACAGAGGGTTTGACAAGTCTCGTCTAGTTGGAGCAGAGACGAGGTTTTAAGAAAGGGGTTTCCTTTGAGCTTCAAATCAAGAGGATCATCTTTGACCCACGAGGTGTCCAGCTGTGCAGTTTGATATTTCTAGATTAAAGGGTGGGTGGCACGGTGGTGCAGTTGGTAGAGCTGTTGTCTCACAGCGAGAAGGTTGCTGGATCAAATTCTGGCTGGATGCCTTTCTGTGTGGATTTTGCATGTTCTCTTCATGCATGGTTGAGTTTTCTCTGGGTACTCCAATATCCTCCCACAGACCAAAAACATGCATGTTAGGCTGATTGGTAACTCTAAATTGTCCCTAGGTGTGAGTGAGAGAGGGAATGGTTGTTTGTCTCATTTGTCTCTGTGTGTCCCTGTGATGGACTGGAGACCTGTCCAGGGTGTCCCCCACCTCTCGCATGCACACTGCTGGACATGGGCACCATTGAGCCCCGTGACCCAGAAAGGAAGAAGCGTGTAATGATAATGGATGGATTATGGATGGTGTTGGATAAAAAATATCCTTTTATTATCTACTAACTTAAAAAAAGAGCCACACATGAAGACGGGCTAATTTTTTTTTAACCCAGTATACTTGCAAGGGCAGACGGTCATGAAACAGGCTTTTACAGATGTTCAGCGTTACCGGTACATGCTTAGAGCCTCGTCATGAGAATCTGAAGTGGACAGTGTGCAGGAAGTGTTTTTATGATGCTTATCAGAACGATGACCTCGCCTCTTAGACTCAGAGGCGTCAAGCGCCTGCAGGCACTTCTCTGAGAGAGAAAAAGAGCTCTCTGCTCCTACACACCTGGTTCAACATTAGCAGTGATAAACATCCATAAACCTTTACCTAAATTCCCTTGACAGATGGATGGATGAATGGGTGGATGGATGAATGGGTGGATGGA